TATATATTAATTAGACTGAATAGGTAAGTGCTAGAATTAGGGCCTGAAGACCAGCTGCTCCTTTTATTTATTTTATGTCTGTAGTTAATATTTATAGCATTTTTTTTTACATTAGATTTATTTATCAGATAATACTTTGGAAGAAAAAGTTTATATATTTTATTTTACACTGTTCGGCTAAAAGAAAATTGTGATGTTTTGGTATTTTTTTATTATTCATTTTTTTTGCGCACCCATGCATATTTGAGCTTATATTGCCATCAAGCACTGTTTATGACTTTTTTTTGGTCTCTTTTTGTTGTAAAAGATTAGCAAGATATTGTAGGCAGTAGCTACCTCAGCAGTTTTTAAATGTACTTACTTCAAATTTAAAGTGTAATTCATTTTAAATTAACAAATAACATGCAAACCCACACAGTATGTGGCATCAAAGCACAATTTTACAACACAAAATTATCAAAAGCATTTTCTCATCACAAGGGATATATATACTATACTTTTAGTGCCTAGTAGAGGTATAGAGGAAGTTAGGATGAAGTTATGCACAATTAGTGGTTCATATGCTGAAGCACACTTTTTTGCTGTTTCCTTTCAGGAGCATGGCATTCCCACAAACATGGGTTATGCGGTGGCTCCCCATCACTCCGGAGTGTATCCCATCCATTTGCAGCTGTACGAGGCCTGGAAGAAAGTGTGGGGCATCAAAGTGACCAGTACAGAGGAGTATCCCCATCTCAAACCCGCACGCTTCCGCAGGGGCTTCATACACAGTGGCATCAGTGTAAGAACACCTTTAATGGGTAAAGTAAAGATAAAAAGTGGGAGAACCAGACTTGAACCTGTATCCTTGGGACAAACATGTTCCTAACATATGCATTGCCAATGCACTAAGGCTTTAGTTGTCCTCTATAAAAAAAACAGATGGCACATTTTTATTCAAACTGTAGCCTGTTCAGCTGTATGGTTAAACGATGGTATGTTGAATTCTTATTCCGGCTGGATTCAGTATGATAAACCCCAGGCTATTTTGTGTATGGTTTGAGCTTTGAATCCCAGTGGGGGGTTAAGGGCAAACTGTTTGTGAAAGTACAATTTTCTTTATTTTTTTATTTATTTTGTATCAACTGTGCATCGCTTCAGGGGACAACAGAGTATGACAAAAGCTCGGTGAATCATGACAGAGCAGTTTCTGTGTGCGTGTGAATGTAAGAATGTATGTGAACTTGCAACAATGGGGAGAAACAAAATCACCTTGAGAATTATGATTCTCAATCATAATATGTATATGTACAGCAGCTATGTTGTATATATTTTTTAAAATGCACACAAGGGCCATCTAACATTTCCTTATCCTGACATACAGTTATTATCCGTGGTTCATATCAGGGAAAGATGCTTATGAAGAAGCAAAGACAGTCGTCTCATCATGCATTATATACATGTATTATGTAAAGAATCCTTTCAGAATGAGGGATGGTTTACATTTAATGTAAACCATCTTCATTCTACCATCACTGGCTCTCAAATAAGATCATGTATGGGCCATGTTATTGGGGATGCTGTTTTCTTAGAGCAGAAGCATTCCAACTCGTTACATGTCAACGCTAGTGGATGTGCTCCAGTTATTGTACTTCATTTTTCAACACTGAGGTCAGACAGTCATTCATTTGCCACTCCAGTCTAAAATGACTCTCAAATGAGATTACGTATTATGGGTGACGAAATACATGTCTCTTTGTTTGCACATGTGGAGCTGTGAACACCAAAGCTAATTGGCCATATAACCAAAAACAAACATTTCTGCTTGGATGCTTTTTTTTTTTTTTCCAGCAAGTCTACAATGCTCCTTAACCATGTTAAAATCTCAGTAACAGACTTTTTTAAGTGGCTTATAGCTTCTATACAATTTCGAAATATGTGTAGATTGTGATTTTTTAAAAAAATGTTCTCATTTACTGTATATAAAATTGAATTTGATATGCCGTCACAGATGTGTGTATATATATATATGGCTCTTATGCTTTTTTTTGCCAAGGCAAAAACATTATTTTAAATAAAGTTATTACATTGTGAAAGGAAATGTCTTTGTTTTTCAGGTGCTGCCCAGACAGACCTGTGGTCTCTTTACTCACACCATCTTCTACAATGAGTATCCTGGAGGCTCTAAAGAGCTGGACAAACTCATAAATGGAGGAGAGCTTTTCCTAACTGTGCTTCTCAACCCAGTAAGTAGTGACACAGTGTATTGCACACACTGGTTTAGACATGATAAAGATTACAACTATGACTTTTGGGCCAAGATCTATTGTTTTTTGTTTTGAAGTAATTTCCGTTATTCACTGTAAATCGTCCTGTACACTGTAGCTCTCAAATCTTATTTGCAAATGTATTATTTGCAAACTTGCCGCATTTCTATGGAGGATTGGGAGTGCCATATTAATTATTAATCTTGAAAGGTGAAATTGAAGCTAAAAATGTATTTATTGATTGCATTTAATGAAAGTATTGAATATGTCACTTGCAATCCTTTATAGCTGTTAATATATCTTATATGATTTACAGTTAGATAATTCCTTTAAAGACTTTTTAAAATAATACGCAAATTTTGGTAATATATTGGTCATATATTTTGTAATTTTGTAATCTAACTTTGAAACTTTTCTTTTGTTAAAGTGCCCCTATTATGGGTAATGAAAGGTTAATATTTTGGTTTTGGGAGTCCCCAACAACAGGTTGACATGCATGCATGGCCAAAAAACACTTTTATTGCCTTATAATATGCATTTATTTTTACCTTACTTGCTCAACGACTCCCAAACGATTTGCTCGACGATTAATTTTTCCAAGCCCATCCTTTGCGTGACGCTAATCTGTGGTGATTGGTCCGATTGGTCTCATTTTCATTTCATCATGCCTGTAATGCCTGATAAAGCAGCATTTGTGAGTGCAGTGTTGCTTTGTGTACAGCGTTACCGGGGAAACCGCTATTTTACTGCTCCAAAAGCGACACCTAGTGGCAAAGAATGAATTTGCATTTTCATTCAGACCAACACAAAAAGACCAACAAGTGTGCTGGCAATGTGCTACTGTTTCGTGTTGACATCAACATGAAACGGCTTGGGATTCGTTTTAAAAACAACTGGTTTCAATGATTCAGAGTCCACTCTTTCTTTTGAGAGACAATAATTTTATACACGGTGCACTTTCAGATTTAAAACTTTGCAGAATGTGTTCATTCAGAGCTGTTACACACTGCATTAAAGGTAATTTCCAAAAATCCATAATAGGGGCACTTTAAACAGTATTAATTCTACATAATACATATGTATGCTACTATTCAAAATTAGTTTATTATTTATTTTTTATATAATACATTTTTTATTATAAATTTATTATAAATTGATAAAAAAGTGACAGTTAAGACAAGTATAATGTTACAAACAGTTTCCACGGTATTGCTAATAAAGGCTCTTCTTTGAACATTTTTATTAATCAAAATTAAATTTGTTTCCACAAAAATGTTTTTCAAAGTTAAGACATTTTTCTTGAGCACCAAATCAGCATATTAGAATGATTTTTGAAGGATCATGTGACACTGAAGACTGGAGTAATGGCTGTGGAAATACAGCTTGTTTTAAAAGTCAACTATTCATTAATCTAATAGGTTGAGTGCTTAATGACTTCTTACACTTTATTTTAAACCAGATCAGCATCTTCATGACCCACCTGTCCAACTACGGGAATGATCGTCTCGGCCTGTACACCTTCAAGAACCTGGTGAAGTTCATACAGATGTGGACCAACCTGAAACTGCAGACACTCCCGCCTGTACAGCTGGCGCAGAGATATTTCCAAATCTTCCCTGAGGAGAGGGACCCCATCTGGCAGGTAACAGAGGAGCTCTGTTGGGGGTCTGTACTGTCCAGGGATCATTATGGGAAACAAATACAACTCTATTTAGTGGGAGTGGATCAGCAAACGTCGAGAGTGTTGAGCGGTGGTGCCGTAATATGTGGCGAAAGGTTTCGTATGGCTGTCTGCACATTTACTCTAATGTACGAAGAGTGAAAATGGTTTTCCGTGTAGCCTGCCAGGAAATCAGAGAATGCCATTTTTGAAATTGGTTCCTATAATTCAGTTGAAAGTTGGAGGCAATGCAGAAGATCTGTCTTTCTCTCTGTATCTTTTCTCCCGCTCGCCCCATTTCAATTTATCCAGCTTCTTTATTTCTTCTTGTCTCACTCTTTCTAACTCACTTGTTTTGTTTCACCCTTAGAGAAAGAGAAAGTGGGAGCCTGAAAGCTCTAAATCCCTCTTTTGATCTCTCTCGTTTCCTGTCAAGGTTGAGGTCCCATCTTTTCTGTCGGCTCTCCAGCGTTCCACAGCTTGCCCTGCTCTGAATAATCTTCTTTCCTCTGCAGTTGTTTTCCCAAGAAATCTGCTAGCTGCTGTTACATGCAGAGGAAAGTTACAACAGAGGAAAGAGTTTAGTTTTTATTTTATACTTAATACAGCATGTCCATGGCTCTTTCCCAAAGTCCATTGAGCTGTTCTTCTGTGTTCATCCTACATGGGCAGCTATTTTCTAAGAGACATCACCTGCCACAGTGCTGGTAGATAAAACAAATTTATGATAGATAAGGCAAAATCGTGTCTTGGACTGAACATGAGACTCTCCTTATGATTGATTCCAGTGGGGTACACTGTATGTTGAACGTCACCTGACCAATCCAGAAAACAGAGAAAGTGTTAACAGCAGTATGAACTGATGGCGATTTCAGTGGACTTCAAGTAATGAGCTAACCTAGCTAGTTTTTTTTTTTTTTTGCCGTTTTATTCTATTTTAAAATCAGAATATCAGATATCAGCATATGTGAGGGGCATCGGTTATGATAATTTTTGGTATCTTCTTTGAAGGCATCTTAAGTAAAACGGCTCAATATTTGCCAAAGGCATTGTAAGTAGGGATGTAACGATTAACCGCGAAACGGTTGAAAATCGATTCAAATATGTGACGATTCAAATCGGTTGAGATGCTAAACAAATCGCGATTCAGTTAGGGGTAGGAGTTTATATGAATGTATGTCTGAGGGGAACTTACTGTCTTTAGAAAAGTTTAGATAGTATTTTTTCTTTTCACCTTGACTCTGTATAATGCATATTAAAGTTAATAAAGTGCAGCGCTGCTTTGTTTACAGCGGAAACCAAGGAAACGCTTTAAAACTGCTCATGTTGCATGCAGCATCTTTGTTTGGATCATGATTAAAATGGTTGCCTCTAATTTTAAATAGAAAGAGCACAGACAAAGCCTTATTTTGTTTATATGAAGAGATTTCTTTTATTTGTGTTATTTATTTGATTTAGGGCTTGTTTTAAAAATTCAATTTTGTTTTGTTATTTACATTTACATTATATTTAAATTTGTTATTTAGCAGACGCTTTTATCCAAAGCGACTTACAAATGAGGACAATAGAAGCAATCAAAACCAACAAAAGAAATCTCATTTTGTAAAAAAATAAATCATGAATAGAATCGAATTGAATCGTGAGCTGAGTGAATCGTTACATCCCTAATTGTAAGCCTAAATAGATTGTAGAACCATTGCCACCAATGGTCTCTACGATCAACTTAGTTTGATGCTTTTGAGAAACGCAGCCCTGATCCAGAAGCGATGTAACCTGTTTTACAGAATACAGATGTTTGTTGTGCATAAGAGAACCCCTGCAATACAGTGTGACGTTAGCATGCTGACCAAAACATTGACCAAAGCTTTGTGCCGTGCTGCTTATATATTTATCAAACAGTAAAAACCCCACTTCCAAAACAAGGCGTCTGTGGATGAGAGTCTGAAGCAAGGACTGGTGAGACAACATTTGTCCTGCACTCGTTTCACAGACGATGAGTAGAAGGAGAATTTTAGATTGACAGGACAGTCATTTATGACATTGTCATCACGCGTCATAACATCATTACACCATTTCAACGTCATTGCACGTACATGACTCTCCAGTTTCGGTTTTCTGATCTGATCAAGTGTTTACATGTCCTATCGAACAGATTAAAAACCACCGCTTACAATCAGAATTAAATTTCAGTCAGATTTGACCAATTTATTCTGATGGGACTTTTATTCAGATAGTTTTTTGACGAATTTATTGATGATTAGAAATTTTGCCCCATTTTTGGGTGAACTGTCCCTTTAAAGCCATGTTGCTGCTGCCATTTTCTTCCTGTGGCCTCAACCCATGCCTTGTTCTCTCATTGGCTGTCAGACTCTCATCGAGTCGGCTGACTTGTCCAGATATTTAGCATGCTAGATATTTGTTTGGCGTCGGCGAGATGTCAGGGAGCCTCTTTGATGCGTCGTTGAGTAGTTCACGCATAAAGACTGCTGAGCGCTGATCACACACTGATTTGCCCCCGATCACAGCCCGACCTGTCGGCAAGCTTGTTGACTTGCAAATCCGGCTTAAGATCCTGTAGTGTGAACTTGGTATTAGGGGCGACAGGAACGTAGTTGGGAACCACTACAGCATTTATTTGAAATATAGTTTTTTTTGTAACATAAATGTCTTTACTGTTTAATGTCCTTGCTAATTAAAGGAATTCATTTCTTTTAAAAACTAAAAAATCTTAGTTAACTTGCAATGTATTCTCGAATTGCCTTTTCCAAAATGAATAAATGTTATGCTGTCTTAAAAATAAGGAATCTTATAAGACAGGCCTTAAAGTGCTGTCTGTGTAGGCAGCTCACTAGGTTTCGGAACAGAGCTCATATTTACTGTTAGTATAAACTGTGACCCCATGAGTACATCAGTAATAAATGTTAATGTTAATTTAGTGTAATTATTCCTTTTAGCTCTGGCATGAGACTTTTTGGTCGTTAGGCGCCTAGCTGTTAATCTCATTAGGATGGACAGGTGTTGGATTGCTGGTGGTTTGCAGTCTTAATGCACCGTTTGACCATCTCGCATTTGTGCAAGATTTTAATTTAGAGACAAGGGTTAAAGCTATTAATTCATTACCACCGTTGCCAGCATCTTCAGCTGTGATGGATGAAGGGCTCAGAATGGCTGCTGCAGGACATCTTTCTCCTTCAAAGGAGATGCTTCAAAGCTCTTGACCGGGGTTGGTTTATGGTTTATGCATCTGATTTCTGTTTGGTTAATCCCATAAAACGGCCACCTCTGGGATGTTATTAGGGCAAGTTTAAAGGCTAAATCTGAATTAATCTAAAATCTTCTTGTTATTGGACGTTGCTGATGTGTTGTAAGATATTTGACATGCTTGAATAGTTTGTTTTAATTTGGCCGGATAACAGCCTCCCCTCCCCCCCCATAATGCAGTTTTCCTGCTGATATTAAATCCA